AGGGGGGAGATGGAGGAAGGGGGGGACACTGAGGACACACAGCCGCAGAGGGAGAGAGAAGGGGGTGGGGGTGGGGAGCCGGCAGGAGACCGGAGGTGCTGGAGGCAACTGGTGCCAGGTGGTCCTGTCTCCTAGGCTTTCTCACTCTGTGGTCCACACAGTCCTGAAGGGTGCGGGAGCAAGGGCCCCGGCAGGGAGTGAGGGCGGGGGCTCAGGGCAGAACTTGTGCCCCCCAACTCAGGCTCTGCAGAGAGGTCAGGGGAGAGTGGGATGCAGGGACCCAGAGAGAGGGGGACAGGTGGGAATGGTTCCAGGCAGACAGAGGAGAGCCTGGGTTTGGGGGACTCATCCTAACTTTGGGCAGGGCTAGCTGGCCTCAGCCCCTCCCCCAGCCTCTTAAATTCCCGAATGACTGCATCTGTCTCTGGGCTTGGGCAGCCCATCCGGAAGGCCACGCAGCGACTCCAGAGGCCACGTCTCTGCACTCTCCATCCCTCACCAACCCCGGGGCTTTGCTCCCAAACCACTTTCCTCCCCTTTCCCCCTGGGCTGGTCTCTGCCCCTGGGGAGTCCCTCTGTGCCTCTGAATCCACATGCCCACCTAGCCCCCTGTGCGTGTCTGTTTCCCGTGAACTGGCTCTGCCGAGGGCCCTCGCTGCTTTGAACTGAAGGTCTTGGCTCAGGCCCTGGTAAACCAGAAGGGCGAGATGCACAAACAGAAACCCCTCTGAAGGCGTGGGGTGGCACAGGCAGCTGCTCTGTGAGCATTCAGTTCTGCATCTTGATGCCATTGCGGTTACACGGATCTGCACTTGGGGTAAAATTACACAGAAACACACGTGCACATACGTGCACAGGCAAATAGATGCACGTAAACAATGAACGCCGAATGAGACCTGTAGTCTGGTCAATAGCATGGTACCCTCGTCGATTTCCCGACTCTGATTTTGGACTGCAGTTATCTGAGCTGTCAGGACTGGGGGAAGCTGGGGAAAGGGTATTGGGACCCTGTAATCTCTGCGCAGCTCCCTGTGAGTCTATCATTATTTCAAAATAAAGAATTAACAACAAAACAAATTCCTGGTAAGCGCAAGCCCTGCCCCCCTCCATTTGAGCAGAAAGCTGTGATTTGGGGGACTCATGGGGACCCTCGGCTGAGCTAGAAGGCTTAGGTAAACCTGAGATCTCCCTCATCCTAGAAAGAACACTCAGCTTGAGCACAAGGCCCCCGGCAAACCCCAGGGAGAGCAAGAAAAAAGTGCTGGGGATGCAACCACAAATAGGGCTCAGTTAACTGCCTTATCCTCCCCGTTCCAGCCCCTAGTTCCCTCAGCGTCACTGCCAGGCTATTCATTCTCCTCATTCCCCTCCCGTCAGACTCCACTCTGGGCTGCTTTGCTCCCTACTCCACCCACCACAGTATTGTTTGCCATGACAGGGGTCCTCAAAAAATATTTGATGATGAATGAATGAATGAACATATGGCCACAGTCCTTGCCTTCAAGAAACTCACGGTCTGGCAGGAAAGGCCTAAGAGGCAACAGGAAACTCAGTCTGGTGTGATTTGCGCTCTAATGGGGGTGGGGGGTGGGAAGGGGTGGCACTGTTGAAGGGCCTGATGAAGCCCCAGGGGAGGGGACAGTGTTTCCAGTGGGCGGTCTGTCTAAGCTGGGTACCGCGCCTCAATATTATAAAACAATCTAAATGGGAAAAGAATTTGAAAATACCTGTATATGTATAACTGGGTCACTTTGCTGTACACCTTAAACTAACACAACATTTTTGTTGTTGTTTGTTTTAAACATCTTTATTGGAGTATAATCGCTTTACAGTGGTGTGTTAGTTTCTGCATTATAACACAGTGAATCAGTTATACATACACATATGTTCCCATATCTCTTCCCTCTTGTGTCTCCCTCTCTCCCACCCTCCCTATCCCACCCCTCTAGGTGGTCACAAAGCACTGAGCTGACCTTCCTGTGCTATGCGGCTGCTTTCCACTAGCTAGCTATTTTACATTTGGTCCATGCCACTCTCTCACTTTGTCCCAGCTTACCCTTCCCCCTCCCCGTATCCTCAAGTCCGTTCTCTAGTAGGTCTGCATCTTTATTACCGTCCTGCCCCTCGGTTCTTCATGACCTTTTTATTTATTTATTTATTTAAGATTCCATATATATGTGTTAGCATACGGTATTTGTTTTTCTCTTTCTGACTTACTTCACTCTGTATGACAGACTCTAGGTCCGACCACCTCACTACAAATAGCTCAATTTCGTTTCTTTTTATGGCTGAGCAATAGTCCATTGTATATATGTGCCACATCTTCTTTATCCATTCGTCTGTTGATGGACACTTAGGTCGCTTCCATGTCCTGGCTACTGTAAATAGAGCTGCAATGAACATTGTAACACAACACTGTTAATCAACTATACTCCAATACAAAATTAAAAGTTAAAAAAAATGAATTTCCAGCTTTAAATTGTCAAAAAACAAAAACAAAACCCACACATGTACTAGGTCTTGGTTCAGCCAGGTGCTGTGTTATATTCTTCTTTCTGTTTTTTTTTTTAATGTTCAAACCTTTCTTAAAAATAAAATTTTTTATTGTGGTGTAGTATAATACATACATAACAATAAATACATAAATATAATAAATACATAACATAAAACTTACCATTTAAAACATTTTTAAAAATAACTATTTATTCATTTATTTTTGGCTGTGTTGGGTCTTCGTTGATGTGCTCGGGCTTTTCTCTAGTTGCGGCGAGCAGGGGCTACCCTTTGTTGCGGTGCACGGGCTTCTCATTGCGGTGGCTTCTCTTGTTGCGGACCACAGGCTCTAGGCGTGTGGGCTTCAGTAGTTGTGACCCACGGGCTCTAGAGCGCAGGCTCAGTAGTTGTAGCGCACGGGCTTAGTTGCTCCGCGGCATGTGGGATCTTCCAGGATCAGGGATCATACCCATGTCCCCTGCACTGGCAGGTGGATTCTTAATCATTGCACCACCAGGGAAGTCCCTTAAAACATTTTTATTTTTTTTGTTTTTGTTTTTTGTTTTTTGTTTTTACAGTACTCAGGCCTCTCACTGTTGGGGCCTCTCCCGTTGTGGAGCACAGGCTCCGGACACGCAGGCTCGGCGGCCACGGCTCACGGGCCCAGCCGCTCCGCGGCTTGTGGGATCTTCCCGGGCCGGGGCACGAACCCGTGTCCCCTGCATCGGCAGGCGGACTCTCAACCACTGCGCCACCAAGGAAGCCCAGAACTTCCTTCCTTTTAAAGGCTGGATCATACAACACCGTATGGATAAGCCACAATTTGTGTATCCAGGTAACTTCTCTATGTGGGTTAGCTTCTTTCATTCCTCCTTCCCTCCCTCCCTTCCTCTCTCCCTTTCTCCCTATCCTTCCTTCCATTCAACAAATATTTCTTGAGCACCTACTAGGTATCAGGCACGGTTCTAATTGCTGAGGATATAGCAATAAACAAAATAGACGGAGATCCCTACCCTCCTGATGCTTCCATTGTGGAAGGAAAGGCAACCAAGCAAAAGAAAGTTAAATAAACACAATGTATACTATTACAAGTTATGAGTGCTAAGTGCTAAGGAGGAGGTCAGTGTCCGGGGAAGGCCTGACTGAGGGCATCTTTGAGCAAAGACCTGCAGATTGTCAGGGATACTGGGGGAAGACTGTTCCAGACAGAGAGAGCAGCATGTGCAAAGGCCCTGAGGTGGAAGGAGGTCTGATGTGTCTGGGGACCAGTGAGGAGGCCAGTGTGGCTGGTGCAGCATGAGCCAGGGAAGAAAATAGAAGGAAATGAGGGCGGTGAGGTCGTGGAAAGTCCGGGCTCCATGGGCTAGGGACTATCTTGGGCCCATTTTACAGTCTGAGAAACGGAGGCTGGGGGAAGGGGGAAATGGCTTGTCCAGGGTCATCCAGCTGGTAAGCGCAGGAGGAAGCGTACAAACTCCTGGACTCTACGAATCCTCTCTATGGTCTCCCGAGGTGATCTGAGCCTCAGTTGCATCTGAGCACTAATTTGTTTGTCCAACACTGTCTTAACGCATTTTTCGTAAGTTAACTCATCCAACCCTTCCCAGGGTCTGGTGAGAAAGGTACACTTATTATTCTCCACGTGCAGAA